AGAGGAACTGCTTGTGCAAAGGCCCTGGACAGAAGCAAGCACAGTGCAATTGAGGCCCGGAAAGCAGAGCAGCAGGGCTGTGTGCAGAGAGCTCACAGCCACCTTTACGTTATCACAACCACAGTGTTGGCTAAGAACTATCATTGCCTTCTCTTTATAAATGAGGAGACCTGGGCTCAGAGAGGTGAAGTGACTTGTCAGAGGGCACACATCAAAGAAACCATCTGAGCCTGCCCTCAAGCCCGGGTTTCTAAGACTCCAAAGCAATGCTCCTAATCACTACAGTCCGCAGCCCTGGAATGGTCAGAACCCCAGGGATGGAGCCAGTTCCTGCTGTGAGGACACTTCAGTAGGAAAGACGACGGTCCAAGGGATGCAAGAGTCAGCTGGTTCCCAAGAGCACTTCCAATCCCCCCACTCACCCCTCCTCAGAGCGGGGAATTGAGGCCCGGAGAGGAAAGGGGACTTGCCACCAACTGGTGTCAGAGCCAGACCCGTGCCCAGCATCTTGGCCTGGGCTCTCATCCCACCTCCTCACCTCCTCCTCACCACCTCCCGGGGGCGCGCTGGCCCGCCTTGGTCTGCAGGGGAGCTGCGGACTTCGCCCAAAGGCAGGAGATTGTAAACCACCAGCCTGGCTGGAGGACAGCGTCCCGCGGGGTGGCCCCGGGGCCAGTGGTAAACAGACTCCTCTGGTCCCTGGGGAGAGGCTGCCCCAACCCCACGGCTCCCGGGCACCTACGTGCCCACAGACGGCCCTGGACACCGCAGGCCCCTTCAGAAGGTCCTCGGACAGGAGGAGAGGCCGCTCTCCTGTCTTCCAGAAGGAAGGAGGACCGGCGGGGGCGGTGGTGGGGGGGCTTCATCCAAGGTCCAAGGTCACAGAGAGGGTTGGGGCAGATGGAGGATAGGACCCAGAACTGACAGTGCAGGTGCCATTCAGATGCCCAGGTAGTGCCCGCTGAGCCCTGTGCGGGTCCCAGGCCCCACCCCCACTCGGGGCCCTGTCCTGTTCTGGAGCCCCAGGTCCTTGGTTAGAACCTGACAGACGCTGTGCTTCCTCCTGCACAGTTCGTTGGGGTGGGGCCTCCCCTGCCCTCCTGGTGGCCCTGCCAGAGCCACAGGCCACCTCCCTCTGTCCCCAGGAGTATGCTCCCCCTGGGCCAGGGCCCATGTGGGGCTCATACACACCCATCATATCGCTGAGGCCACACGGGCATTGAGGGGGGATTGTTCCCCTTTTGTGGCTGAGACACTGCCCCGAGACCCCTGTCCCACAGAGCAGCTGAGAACTGGGCTGCATCCAGGGCGTCTCTGCACCCCCAAGCCCTGTGCTCAGCCAGGACCCCGTGTCTCGCCCGTCTGCGGGATGCATAGGCCATCAGAGAAAGACGGGCTGGGGCTGCTGGAAGTGGGGTCCCGATCCCAGGGGCTCAGCTGAGCCGTTTGTCCACCTCCTCAGAACCCCAGTGCTCTCCTTGAAGAAGGAAAGCCACCCTCAGACCCTCCTCCAGGGCCGCGGGGAGCCTGGTGGAGACCAGGGTGGGCTCGGGTGTCCTGCCCAGTCTGTCTTCTCTGCAACCTGGCCCTCCATCCCCAGTGCCAACCACACCCCTGTTCCTCAGGCCCCCGCGGCCTCCTCCCACCAAGGAAGGGGTGCTGCTGTGCCAGGGGCCTGGGGCACCCCCTTTCCTCCTCCTGGCCCAGCCAGGGAAGGACGAGCACAGCAGATGTTCCACAGATGGTGCCCACTGTCAGCAGAGCGATGGCATACCCGTGGCTTCTCTGGGCCCCCGTGAGGAGGGCCCCGGAGCTCTGGGGGAAGCAGGGGTGGGGGCATCAGGGGCCTGAGGACTGGGGGCACTGCGGGGTGAGTTACAGGGGCTTTCTGGGGCAGGATGTCAGCCGGAGGGTTCCAGGAAGGGACAGCCGGCAAAGTGACCAGGGGGTGCAGAGGCAGGAAGGTGGGGAGGGGGACTCAGCGGAGCTGGTGACAGGAGCGAGGCCAGAGAGTCCAGTGGGTCTGAGGTGGCTGGGGCAGGAGACCGCAGGGGCTCTCAGACTGCCCCAGAAGCCCACCTTCAGGAGGGAGGACTGGAGACCCCCCCGAGGCTCCCGGGCCCTCCTGACAGACTGGGGATACTGAGCTCCGTGTCCAGCAGAAAGCCGGGAGCTTGGACTAGACGGTCTCTGCCAGGCTGCAGGGTCTAGGGGCCAGCTGCCCAGGCCAGGAGAGCACAGTCCTCCTGGGAAAGGCCAGGAGCAGGAGGGCTTTGACTCACTCGCAAGAAGTCGGCCACGGTTGGCACAGGCGACACCGAATACCCTCCCGTGGCATCCGGCTGAGTGGCACTGCCATGCCCCTTCCCTCCCCACCCTCCAGCTGACCCCAGCTGCTCCCCACTGGGCCGAGGCTGGGCAGCAGGGCGGAGACAGGCTGTCTCTGGCTCAGTCCCCGGAACAGGCAGGCTCTACCCTCCCGCAAAACCATTCCTGAAGCACGTGGGCCTGGCCTCTGAGACCAAGGCCCCGTCCACAGGGGTGGGTGAGAGCCTGGGGTGGTGCCACCTGCCCCTGACCCCAAGCAAGGTGACACCAAGAGCAACTCATGTCAAAGGAGCAAACACCTGAGCCAGGCACTGAGCTAGATGCCGCAGGTGCGGCCTCACCTGGCCATTGCACCTCTGGGCTGGGCGCCAGCCACACCAGGTACGGATGAGGAATCTTCATCAGCAGCAGAGCCTGGAACTGGCTGAGAGCCCGCTCCCCAGACCTGGGCCTTCCCACCTCCGCTCTGAGCTGCTTCTTCCAGTCTGAGCCACAGGGTGGGACCTGCACCAGGGCTTCCCGGTGCTGAGATCCCGCAGGGACCTGCCCAGGATCACAGGTTCCTTTCTCACAGGTGAAGAGAAATAGGGACCAGTCCAAACACTGTTCAGGTGACAGACGGGAGCCTCACAGGGCAGGGGATGTGTCCAAGATCCCCCCGGGAGCCCAGGTGGGTCCAGGTCAGGACGCAGGTGCCCTCCTCCTCTGGTCTCCAGCTGCTTGCTCCCCAGGGCCAAAGCTGCCCGTGGCCAGAGGCAGCAGGGTGTGAGTAATGGAAACCAGGCCGTGGGGCCTTCCGAAATGGGAATTCCATCTGCCTGACTCTGTTCTCCTGAACTTTGGTTTCCAAGACAACTTGGAAGATGGAGAGCCTGGCCCAAGGCTGAATCCTTAGAACCCAAAGAAAGGGGAAGGCGAGTCTGTGGACCCAGCTGCTTCTCCAAGCAGAGATGTCATAAGGAGTCCAGGCCAGGCTGGACTCTGAAATCCCGGGCTCTGACCCCGCTCTGCATCTCACCATTTTGGAGGGACAGTGAGTGGTATGACAGTCCTCCCTGGGCCTCAATTGCCAGGTCCCTGGCTGGACTCAGGCCTGAGACACCTGAGAGGCACCCTTGCTGGGAATCAGGAGTACGGCTCTGCTCCCTGCCTCTCAGCCTCACGGAGGCCGGAGGCCCTGTGGTGGGAAAGCCCTTCCTGGTTCACAAACAAGCAACTCTCTGGCTGCAGCGCTGGGCCCCGGCCCTGGAAGAGGAAGACGGCCCCTTCCGGGGAAGTAAGAAAAGCTGCCTTCGGGAATCAAGCTCCTACTGTGTGCCTGCCCCCCAGCTAGGTCCTCTCCACAGATGGGCTCACCGATCCTCATCCCAGCACTGACAAGTCACAGCACCTTCCCTGTTCTGCAGGCTCCAGGGGCACAGGGACTTGCCAAGGTGACAGAGCAAGTCAAACCCAGGACTGCCTCATCCCAAAGCCCCAGCAGCCTCTGGAGACAGGTGAGCTGCCCATGACTAATGCTGCTTGCTCCGACTGCCTGGGAGCACAGAGGAAGGGCCACCCCCATGACATAGCTAGGTCTGGCTCTCAGGAGGTCCCTCCAATACAGGCTCCAGGGAGGGCCAGGTGCAGTGAGGGCAGGAGAAGTCAGGAGCAGTGAGAAAAGCCAGACTCACCCTCCCTCTTGAGTGAAGCTCCAGGATCTGCAGTAGGAACAAGACCAAGGACGCTCTCCACACTCAGACCCAAGCCCCCTCATCCCATAGAGGACTCAGCCCCTAAGCTCCCCAGTTCAGGGGAGCAGACAAGGGGAGGCCAGGAGGAGAGTCTGACAGCCCCAGGGCCTCTGCATCTCCAGGTCCCCTGCGAGCAGGCCTGAGCACAGAACCCCAGGCAGAGAACAAGGTTCAAGGAGATGGGCAGCCTCTACCGCCGCAACCCCAGCAAGCTCCACCTAACCAGCCCAAAGGAGCCAGGCCCTGCCCTCGCCCCTGCCCCAGCCCTGGGAGGCTGCACGGGTGGACACCAGGGCTGACTGGGCACCAGCTTGGCCTGAGTTCTGGGCCCTCCTCTGCCCACTTCAAGGCAATGGTCCAGTCCTGCCCTGGAGTAGGGGCCAGATGGTGCCTGAATTTGTATCTCCTTTAGGCAGGAGGGTCAGCCTTGTCCAGGGCCACAGAGAAACTCAGTCCTACCTCCTGCACCTCCCCAGCTCTTTCCTCTATCCAGGAAGCCTCCAGCAACTACCACCCTGTGTGGCCCTGACCACCTCTACTGGCCATCCCTGTCCACCGGAAGGTTCCTTTAGAACCTCAGGGTTTGGCCAGAGAAGTGAAGGTACATGGCCTCCTGGTGACCAAGCGAGGACACCATCCTGCACTAGGACAGCCCAGCAACCCAGAGCCGGGCTCCAGGCCAGCAGGGCTCAGGCTGTGTGACCTCGGCCAAGTCACCCATCCTGTGCTTCATGCTCATCTGTAAAATGGAGAGAAGGTGAAAATAACAATGGGAAGAGCGTGGCCAGCACCCAGCACAGGGTGGGCAGGTGGGGAGCAGCTCCCTGGACACTGGTATAGATGGCCCTGGGGTGAGGAGCAGGTGACGGCAAGCGAGGGGACGGTCCTGACATCACCCCCCAGCCTTAGGAGACCAGGAACGCACAGAGAGGGCCAAGAGCGAGAAATAACACAGGCCTTTTATTTGCTCCGGAACTTGGCTGCTGTGTGGTCTGAGGGTGCCATCCTTTCCCGGAGCCCCCGAGGACACGCCACCTAGGGGGTGCCAGACATCCCCTCTGGGCCTCGCCAGTCCAGGAGGCCCAGGTGCCCGGGACCAGTAAATGCCCTGAAACTGGACACTGGTGTCCACCTTCTCTGCAGGTGGCTTCTCACAAGGCATCGGTTAAAATATTGCACTTGTAGATCAGGAAAACTGACGAGGCAAGGGTTTCCTATTACGGGATGACGTGCCAAGCATCCAACTACTGTTTAAATAAATAAAACTCAAAGTGGGGGTCTGAGCTGTGAGGCCCAGCAGCCCCCCAGGAGAGCCCCAGGGCCCAGGCCTGGGCCTCCTGCCCCATCAGCCAGTTCTGTAAGGAACTTGGTCAGCACAAAATCTCCGCGTCTCCAAAGCAGGGAGCAGCAGCTCCAAATCTGGCGCAGCCGGGGCCCCCGACCTGCCAGGGCCCTTGGGCCCCCTCGTACCGGGGCATTGGGGACCCAATAGGCTGGTCCTTCTCCTCCTCCAGTGCCCTGGGCCTCTCTAGGTCCAGGTCTCGAATCCAAATGTCCATCTATCTGTCCGGAGATGCAGCCTCTGGGGGCTTGCTTGCCCCCTCCGTCGCAGGGGGGTGGGAGGCAGGTGGGCATGGGCCCAGCCCGCTTGGTGTGAACGCTGAGCTCTCCCCCAGTGGCCCCTAGAGCGGGGGACTCATCTTCTTCTGGTTAATGAGGTCCAGGTAGAGGTCAGAGCGGAGAAAGCGAGGATACGAGTCCTTTTCCATGAGCCCGAAGATGCGCTTCTGGGCCAGGTCGAAGCAGCCCCGTGTGACGCTCTGCAGGTTGTCCTTCGTGTGCTCCCGGGTGTACGAGTCCAGGTTGACCTACGGAAGCCCAGGGCGACATGGTCAGGGCTGCCTGGGAAGGACTGAGCCAGGTGCTGGAAAATCTGGAGGCCAGGTCAGCCTCTGGCCTCCAGACTCCTCTGTGCCTCATGGGGAGAGTTCCCCAAAGTGGAGGCCCTCAGGCCAGGGGACCCAAGTCCTGGCAGAGTCGTGACTGCCAGGGTGAAAACACTAGGGTCAGGAGGCCCGGGTTCAAAGCCCAGCAGTGCCACACCTGGGTGACCTGAAGCAAGCCACTCAGGGGCACCTCAATTTCCCTGTGGATGGGCTCGGGATGACAGTGCATGCCTCAAAGAATTGTGGGAATCAAGGCGGCACACTCCCCCAGAGCAGCCTGCACACAGTAGGTGCTCAACAGATGTTAGCTACTTCCATCAGGCTATCTGAGACCATCTCTTTGTTCAAAACAAAGATGATATTCAAACCTATTCAGACTTTTGTGAGGATTAAACATGAGAGCGCGAACGTGAAGGGCTCAGCGTGTGCCTGGTACGTTTGTGGCAGTGTCCAGGTAAGGCCCTTTTTTTAAACAATTTTTTTTTCAGTTGTGATGGACCTTTATTTTATTTATTGGTTCATATGCGGTGCTGAGGCTCGAACCCAGCGCTTCGCACATGCTAGATGAGCACTGTACCGCTGAGCCACAACCCCAGCTCCGGTAGGGCCATTTTTAATTATGAACCAGGATTCTGCTTTTCCCCTGGCTCCAACCTGGATCACGGCCCCAAAGAGTCTCTCTGGTCTCTCTCCTTCCTGGGCCGCTGGCTACTTTCTTGCAACCGAAGGGTCACTGGGCCATGGGGACTGGGGACCTGGGGCCAGCCCGCGTCCTACCTCCTTGCACGCCTGGATAGCAATGTATTCAGCAAAGATCTTCTTGGCTTTGGCCGTCATCTTGGACTGTGACTTGACCTTCTTGAAGTCCTCACAAGCCAGCCAGAACTCCAGGTTTTCCTCGCTGAACTCGGTGCGAAGAAAGGCCTGGAACACTATTAACCCATCTGTGAGGAAAAGAGCCAGGGTGAGAGGGAGAGCCAACCGGCCTGCCCTTAGCAGCCCGGCCTCGCCCTCCTGGGGCTTCGTGGGTGGACGTGCTGGGAGATCAGGAAGACCCCCATCCTTGAGATCCAGGGCATGGGGGTGGGACCTGGTCCTAGCCCTGCCATTGCCACTGCTGAGGTCTGAGGGGCCTTGGCCAGTCCCGCCCCTGTGGATGCCCCAGTATCCTCATCTATAAAACAGGGCCACCCACCCTGGGTCAGGAGCCCCGTGGGGAGCAGATGGGATCCTGCCCCGAGATGGCAGGCACATTTGGCCCAGTGTGAGCCCGCGGTCCACGGAAATGTTTATTGTTGTTCTGAGAATACGGGTCTGAGCACAAAGGTCCCAACGGGCTCCAGGAGGCAGGGCCAGCTCCCAGGGGCAGGGAGGGGCTGGCAGGAGCCAGCTTCAAGTCCAAACCCAGGGCCTTTCTTGGGCCCAGCCTCTCCCCCATGGCCGGGACACCTTGCTGGGCCCAGGTGAGAGGGAAGACAGCCTCTCCAGGATCCTCTCTGGGCCCAGATGAGGGGAGAAGAAGAGGGGGAAAGAGAGGAGGCTGGGGGGAGGCAGAGCACCTGGCGCACTCACATTTGTGAAGCAGCAGCTTCTCCAGGGATTCACTCCACTTGAGGGCTTCCTCCGAGGTGGGCCTGAGGGGCGAGGGAAGGAGCACCGTGAGGCTGGGAGCCAGCCGCGGGGGAAGCTGGGGCTGGGCAGCCTTGGTTAGCTACCCTGGGCCCAGGCTACAGCTGAGCCAGGAGGGAGGCCCACTCCTGGCTGGCCCTGCCTGGATGTCCCCCTCCGGCCAGCTGATCCCCGCAAGGGCTGCTGCTTGCTGGGTACCAGGCTCCCTCTGCAAGAGCCTCCATCTCCCCTGAGCCGATCCCACTGACAAACCCCTGCTCCTAACCCCACCCCCCAGCCCTGCTCCCTAGAGCAGCCAGCGCCCGAGGGTCCCAGGATGCTGCCAAGGACCTACCTGAATGACTTCATCATCTTGTCTGTCTTGCCCGCTGGCTGGGCCCCTGGCGATTCATTTCGCCGCCTGAAGATGGCCAGCTTGTTCTTCACGTCCTTGGCTCTGGGGGCAGAAGCAGAGGAGGGAGCTGGTCAGCCTGGCACCCACGACCCCTGCAAGTTCAGGGTGGGGAGGAGGGGTCTGGGGCCGGGGACACCTACTCTTTCATGGTGTGCCGTCTCTGAAGGTTCCCATTGCGCGTGAGGTACATGCCCCGGAGCATCTCTGTAGGGCCCCCCACCTTGAGGACCCCCGTGATGGTCTGCAGGGAGCAGCACCCTTGGGCTCCCACCTTCCACCCAGTATCCCGGGCTGCTGGCAGCAACGGTGCAGACCGCAGCGCAGCACTCGCTCGCCGGAATCCTGGAATCCTGGCCGGATGACTGGACTCCAGGCTCAGCAGAGCCAGGGCTGGGGCTCAGACAGGAGGAGCCAGGAAATGGGAGGGACCAGGAGGGGGAGTGGAAAAAATAGCCCTCCTGACCAACCCTGAGAGCGCCCCCTGAAAGGGGCAGTGTCTGCCAGGGACAGCCTCTGGGGCCCGCCCCCAGGCAGGAAGCCAGACCCAGTTATTTGTGACCAGCCTTCCTGTTACCATGGCAACAGGGAGACAGTGGTGGGGGGGCCAAGTCAGCAAATTGCTGGGAGGGAAGGAAGGAGGGAAGAAGGGAGGGAGGAGGTTCTGCCCACCAGGGTGGCAGGACCAGCTATTTTTAGCTAAGAACCATTTTTAGCCAAGCTGGGGCTCCAGGAGGCAAATTTCAGCGCTGGGTGACTCTGCTGACAAGAAAGGGGTTAAAAGCCTCCGGCTCTAGTTCACTCCCCTGGCCCCTAGTCCCCTGCCCTGGGCACCTCCAGCCCCTGCCAGCCTGTCAGTGGCACTGGGTCCGCCCATCTGTGAAGACACCAGAGGCCCCCAAAGTCTTGGAAGTTTAAAGCTTGAATAACATCAGATGTATAGACCCTATAAACTTGCAAAAAAACAAAAAAGTTATCTGAAAGTTCAATTATTTAATTCATTACACATTAGTTTTGTGATTTTTAATCTTTTTGTCTGTTTTTAGTTGTTGATAGACCTTTATTTATTTATTTGTATGTGGTGCTGAGAATCGAACCCAGTGCCTCGCACATGCCAGGCAAGTGCGCTACTGCTGAGCCCCAGCCCCAGCCCCTGTGATTTTTTTTTTTTAATAATAAAATTTTCATTCTAATTTTTGGTCTCCATCCTACCAAACGTAGGAAATGTTGAAAATTTTATTATCAAAATCATGAAGCGAAATAAATGTAAAAAAAAAATTAAATAACTGAACTTTCAAGTGCGTTTCCAGCATTTCTACTTCTGAAGTGACTAAAGCTTACGACAGCTTTAATAACTGTGTAATTCAGGGAAGTGGCACCCTGCCAGTGGGGTCAAGGGTCCCGGCCCTGGGGCCCAGCAGCCCCAGCAGGGAGCGTTCTTTGTCCAGTCCCTCAAGCCCTCTCTGAAGGTCAAGATTCCCTCTATCCAGCAGGGAGTATCCCGGCTTGGGGCTGTTGCAGGACCCAAGGAGAAAGGGCACTCTTGAAACATGCTTGGGACACTAAGGCCCACACCTGTCCTGGGTGTCTAGGACAACTGTCTAAGGTCAGGGTCCCTGTTGTAGCAGGTTCCAAGCCAACGAGATAAGGCCCCCGGAGTCCCGGGGTCTCAGCCCTCTGGGTGAGAATGGCAGCCCTCAAGGAGCCCTGCAGGGACAGTACTCTGTGCTGGGAGCCCTGGCCCCAGCCCCCAAGGCCAGGTGAGAAGCAGAAGCCCAGGAGGGGAGGGCCCAGAGCTCCAGGGTGCTGGCTGCCTCCACCCCACCGGGCTCCTGTCTGAGCAGAGCCCACTAGGTTCCTCTGTGGCGGAAGGAAGCCAGGGCTCCTTTCCAGCCGCGTCTTTCCTCCCAGACACGAGGAGCCAGCAGGCCAGGTCTCAGATCCCAGCTCCACCCAGCTCTACTAGTGGTAGAGTAACTTGGATAAGTTACTTGGGTGAGTGACAAGCATGTCCCCAAGTGGTTGGATAAGTAACTAACCTCTTTGTGCATCAGCTTGCTCATTATAAAATAAGGATAGAGTAAATAGAAAATGTCAAATGAAAATAACAGTAACAATTCACTTCCATCAAACAAAAGTAACAATCTCCTTCCATCCTATGTGACATAGAACAATGCTTGACCCCAGGAACCCAGGCCTGTTATTACCCCGGATGCTAAGTGCCCTCAATTAAGCCTTGAGGAGTGTGAGTGTCAAGCATTCCAAAGGTGGTGCCCATTCTGAAAGGAGACTGGAGGCGGTGGGCCCAGGCAACTCCAGCACCCTGGACATGGGTCCCCCGCCACTCCACTGCTCCCAACAGCACCACCCACAGCAGCCCTGGAGCTACAGAGACCCTCCCTTCCAAAAAAGTAGTTTAGTGAGGCTGGTTGGGGCAAAGGACTATTTTTGTTTGTGTTTGACCTTCCTGAGAAAGTACTCTTGTTCCTGGGTGCAGAATGAGGGAAGTCTAAGGTTGCTACAGAAAAGGCTGGGGTCGGCGGGTGGGGGGTTAGAGGGCAGTGGACCCCAGCCAAGGTCAAGGCCAGGGAAGAGGGTCACTGGAGGTGTCTGGGGAAGACTCCAGTCCTCTTCCCCCAGGCCCAATTTCTGCATAATGGCTGGATACTACCAAACTTGGAAGCTCTCTCTGAGACTTGTGCTCCATGGCCTTCTCCCCTGCACATCTCCCAAGTCTCCCTGAGGCCTAAGAACACCCCTCCCCACAACACACACACCCACAGAGCTGGAAAGGCCTGGAGGAGCCCGGGATACTGTAGCTAGGCCAGCAGCGCCCCCTCCTGGTAATGCTTAAGATAGCACTAAGGAGCTCCAGAGAAGAAATGGGAACCCCCAGAATTGTCAATTCCGCCGCCCTTTCTCAGATCACTCCGGGGCCCAGAGGGAGCAAAGGTCTTATCCACATCACTACTTGGCTCAGAGGCTGGGTGGCAGCTGGGCAACCTGGCTAATTGCCTCTGGCTCGCTGTGGGCTCCTAGGTACTGAATAGACACCCTGCCTCACTCCAAGTGGATTTTCAAGACCCTGGTGACCCTGCCCTGGGGCCACTGCCAATCCTCAAGATCCTATTGATCCTTGATATCTGTCTGGGGCTAGGGAGGGGATGGGCACAGCCCTTCTCCCCACCTGTCCCCCTGGATACAAGACAAACCCTTGGGCAGAGGAGGAAGAAGGGTGCAGGGAGCCTCCCCAGTCCCAAGAATGAAGACTGTGGATCTTCCCAACGTACAGGTTTTTGCTCTTTCTCTTCTGAGAAGCTTCGTCATCGTCCCCAACTCCGTCAGGTCCACTCATCTGCAGAGAGAAGACAGACAGGATGCAACCTGCGTGTCCAGAGGCTGCTGCCCAAGTCCAGACCCAACAGCTCCTTAACCAGAGGGCCCTGCCCCAATGCTCACCCCTGGAACAGCGTTGGGTGCGGGAGGAAGGCCCCACTGCTGGAACAGCCCAGCCACGGTAAGAGAGGCTAGGCAGAGCATCCAGCCAGGGGTCCCCTCGAGGCACATGTAGGACCCAGGCTGCCGGGGAGAAGCAGGAGTGACAGAGCCTGATTGTGGGCGACAGGGAAGCTTCCACTCAGAGACTTGCCAGTCACCGCCCCTTTCTGAGCATCTTCCTTTATTTCTCAAATCCAGATCATAATCATTAACTCAGGATTGTGAAGTCCAAAGGAGACCTGGGGCGGTCTGCAGTGCATAGAATGAATCGCCACCCAGGCCCGAGCTTTCCAAGGCTCCCTAGGACCCTCAGGACAGTGTCCCGACTCCATGACAGGGTCTTCTATCTCAGGGAGAAAATCCCTCCTTAACCTCAGTTCCAAGTCCCTGGGCCGTTGTCCTGTTCAGCAACCTCGACCCTGCCTCCAGCCAAACGAGTGTCTTGGCCTCACCTTGGTGACTCTCCTGCTTCCTTTCCTCCTGAGGTCCAGCTTCAGTTCAGGTCTCAGCCTAGCAGCCAAAGGCCCCTTCCCCTGGAAAGCCCTCCCTGATCCATAGGGCCAGGCGTGTCCCCTTCACCTCTTTTAAGGTCCCCGCTGCACCAAAAATGACTTGTGTCAAACCTGTCTTCCCTGCTTGGCTATGAATTTCCAAAAGCAAGCCTGTGTCTGCCCAGGTCACTTCCACGGGGCCTGGCACGTGTGAGGAGCTCAGTAAGTCAAACCTGACAAATGAATCAACTGATCAGAGAGAGAGGGCGCAGACGAGGAACCATGACTCTCGGAGTCCTCCTTGCTTGATTGGGCCTTCAACTTTACACACACACACAGCCCTTCCATTGCAGGGTCCACCCCACCCACTCTACCCTATCACCTGCCTTTCGCCTGTGCTGTGCCCCCAGCCTCTTGCCCTCAGTCTCCTCTTCCTTTCAGACACTCCTTCTCTCCTCAGACCACCACAGACTCCCACCATCTACACTGGGCCGTCCTCTGTGTCCCTTGCCCTGCCTGGGCTTGGGCATCCTCCTCCAGGGGAGGCCCAGGGCCCCAATGGTGCTACCCTGCAGCAGGAGCCCATGCTACACTCGGCAGAGCCAGATTCAAAGTACAGTGGGCATTGAAGCTCTGCCCCAAGACAGGGCAGGAAACGACCAGGTGTGGACTCAGCCAGACTCCACAGGAGACCCACCCTGAGGCTCAGTTTCCTCATTTGTAGAATAAAGAAGATGGGCTAAGCTTTGAAATGCAGAGTTCTTAATTCTGGAAAGAAAGTGGTCTCATTCCAGATGTAGCCAGCAGGCGAAGATACTGGCCTCTATGGAGCACCCACTAGAGGATGGACAGATAAATGGACAGATGGATGTGTGAGTCATACCTTTGTTGACCACAGCTTGCACTACAGGCCAGACCCTGGGATGAGCATGACCTAGCTGCTATACCATTAACCCTCACAGCAAATCCAAAAAGTACACAGGCTCAGAGTCACCTGCTGGAGGAGGAGGACATCCAGCATTCAGTGAGCTGGAATGGGAGCCTGTCAGGGTGCAAGGCGGGGGTTTCTCCACTAGAGGGCGCTGCCACTTGAGCCCAGGACAGGGCACATTTTGACCATTTCCAGGGAAAGACTCAGGAAATGCCGCCTCCTTCCTGAGGCTGCTTTGGACCAGGGCCGCTGGCACGTGTGTGTACGTGCACAGAGAGGCCACGCCCTGTGGGGGTGTGATTTTAGGGCTTTGGGGCCGGGCTGGGCATAGCCCTACTTCATGAACTTGGGAGACTCAGCCTCTTAGCTTAGGTTTGTGAGTGACAGCACAGCCAGGGTGACAGCCACCCCATGGGAAGGGTGGAGGATCCACCAGGATGAAGCCTGGGCCCCGATGGCCTGGTCCTGGTACACACGGTGTCCTCAACAGCCCAGTTGCTGGGTGTGTCACTGCTGTCACCCCAGCACAATCGCAGGCTGCAGGCAAACTGGCCTGGCTCAGCAGTGCCCAAAGCCCCCACCCGTGGGAAAGGGCCACGGCACTGGGCTTCCTCCCATTCTAACCTCGGCTTCCGTACTTTATCAGCCCCACACAATGGGCCTGGGGACCACTCCCGCCCTGGCCACCACCCCCAGCCTCTGCACTGCTGGGAAATGGGCTCTTCCTTCCAGTGATGGGAGTGGGGGGGGGTGTCTTCAGCAGGGTCCCGTGCAAGCCAAGCAGCCTGATGGAGGGCTGGGCAGCTCTGACCCTGGAAGTTGCCCCCGGGCACCAACGAGGAAGAGCAGAAACTGCAAGGTGGGACCCAGTTCTGATTCCCAGCCTAGGGTCTCCTAGAGTCCACAGGGAGGCTGAGACCTTAGCCTTGGACGAGGCCAGAGTGGCCCCAACAGCTGCAGCGAGGTCCGCCCAGGGCCCAGCATGCAAAGGGCCTCTCCCCAGGGCTGCTCCTTCCATCGGCTCCTCACTCTCTCCTCCGTGACCCTGCCCTGCTGACAGGCAAATGGAAGTGAGCCCAGAACCAGCAGCCCTCCCTACACCCAGCCATCAATGCCTGCGGCCTGCCCGGCCTCACCGGCCACCTCCCAGGACGGGAAGCTCACCGTCTCTGGGAATAACAATTAGAATCCTTACTGTCATTGCAGGAGGGATCTAGAGTGCAGATTCTAGGCTCAGGCACATATGGGTTCGTTGACTTAGCTCAGTTTCGACCCTCTCGCTGCCTCCGTTGCTTTACTGATAAAACGAAGGTAACAACTGGGCCCGGCTTATGGGGCTGCCGTGAGGATTAAGTCAAGGACGTGCGGGACGCCCTCGGCACAGCGCCAGCACAGGAAGGGGCTCCAGAGCCATTAACTCTCCTCAGTTCTTTATTATTTACTGGGCCTCCCTGTGCGCTGGGCACCGTGTGACAGTGCTATGACATGTTTTCTGGTTTGATCCTTCCACAGTTCTAAGAGCCATTTGCTCCGGTTTCCCCCATCTACAGCTGGGGACCTGAAGCCAGGAGGGGTTTGGTGACTTCCCTGGGCTATCAGCTGCCAAGGAGCAGAGGATTTTGAGTGTGGTCCAGAGCCCAGTGGTGACGAGGGCTCTTCTGGGAGGGCCCAGCGGGTTCCCCTCTTGGTCCTGGTCTGACTTCTGGGGCTACCTGATGGTTCACGACTGCCAAGCTGCGCCCCGGGTGGCCGTGTGGAAACGGTGGATCTAAACTCTACAGTTATTTGTTTGAACACAGGAAATAATTCTCTAGGCATTTTGAAAATAGGCATTTTGAAAGCGTTATCATGTTTTGGAGCTGGAAGGCATTTCAGGAGGCCTCTTGTCTGATCTCCAACCCAGACAGGAAGCTTAGGCAGTGGGGCTGGCACCTCTGATGGAGCTGGTCCCCAGCCCAGGGGAAAGGAAACATGGCCAGAGAAGGCCTGTGGCCTCCTCGCTGTTGAAGAATGGCCTGTGACCCTGAGCTCAGCCAGACCAGAATGGGGTGCAATTCAGTGACAGTGTCCTGGACCCAAACACAGAATTTACCTAGGGGGATCCTCTGACTCCCCAGGAAAAGAATAGGTATGAACCCCTTGATCTGCTCAGCTGGGCCTCCAGAGTCGGGCAGCAGAGGGCGCTAGGAGCCAGCTCAACTTCACCCAGGGGGCAGACGACCCACTGGCCAGCCAGAGGGGCCGGCTCCTCTCTGGACCTCGCCAGCTCACCAGTGTGGCAGCCACAGCCAAGCAGACCATTTCTGAGGCCTGTGTGATTCTGACATAGAAACGGCTCAGGACACCGGGACAGAGTGGCAACAGAGGCTCTGGGAGGTCATAGCTCACCCATACAGCAGGACGCAGCACCAACCCAGGGCCATGCCAGCTCTGTCTGGCCCTCCTGGTCTCGCAGCATCAAAAGATCACTGCCTGATGGGCAGGGCTTGTCATGCGCCCGGCACAGAGCTCTCTGCACACTGATACCTCGAGTCCCTGGGGTCAATTCCAGGAAGACTTAGCGCTTGCATTTTATAAGAGAAAACTGGAGCTCAGAGAAAGAATGAGCTTGGCCAAGGTAGCAGAGCCAGGCAGGAGGCGGGGCTCAGACTTGAAGCTGGCTCCATTGGGCTCCAAAGCCTGAAGACTTCGCCCCTCTCCTTTTTACCTCTTGATTGGCGCTGTCTGGGAACAGGGGCCTGTCACTGACTCTCCCAGGACAGCCAGGCCCAAGCCAGGAAGACAGAAGTCATGAGAGAACATGCTTCCTCCACCCTCTGTCCATCCCCCACCCCAGCCTCTTATTAGCATGAGATGCAGGGGGCCTGGGGTAGAGCCACAGAGGGTGGGACAAGGCAAGGCCACTGTCAAGTTCTGCCTTGACTGACTATGTGGCCTGGGACAAACCAGCCTCATTCCCTCCCTGTAAAAGGAACACTGGTCCCACTGGTGGCACTTTGTGAACGGGGACATAGCTGTTCCCGCTCTGGCTCCTGCTGCCCCACCTCCTCCCTCCTCCCCCTCCTCCCAAACTGTCAACATTATGGCCATTTATGGAACACCCTCCCCCCCCCGGACCAGGTGCAGAGTGCCCAGCACTGGCCTAAATACCTGCCTCAAGCTACTTCATCTTCTCAGAAACCCTAAGCAGGGGCGTCACCCCCATGCCCACCTGTCCAGTGAGGACACGGAGGCTGAGAGGGCAGGGGCTTGCCGAGGCCCGTTGCAGTGGACCACAGCTCTAGACCCCGTGTGGCTCTGCCCAGGCTTCATTCCCTTTGCCCAGGACGGGCCCTTATGAAGCCAGCCAGCCGGAGGCAGTACACGGAGCCAGGATGACCGTGCCAGGCCTGGTTAGGGAGCCACACAGGAGGGGCCACCACAGGACGGGGCAGCCTCGGAGGCCTCTTCCAGCTCAGTTGCTCAAGCCCAAAAAAGGAAGCGAAAGGCCAAAGGAGAGTGGGGGAGGGGAGGGTGCCAGTGGGAACCCTGAGCACCCAAAGGAGGAAGCTGAGACAGAAGGGAGCCCGTCCAGGCCCTTGGACTCAAGGCAGAAGCACACTTGAGCCGGGTCAAGTGAGCCAGGGAACTCCACAGAAGCGCTCGCAGGAGTGTGTGTGTGAATTTATCTGTGTATAAATATGTGTCCTGGAGCACGGGTGGGGGAGGGCACAGACGGGTCAGGGAAGGACCTGGTGGAGGGTTAGGATTGGGAGGCCCCAGGCAGGTTTGGGCCCTTGGTCCTCAGCTGCTGTCCAGAGAGGAATGGCCAGGCCCTAGCTGTGTGAGCTCGAGGCCTTGCCTTGGCAGCACCGAGTCCTGGGCTCCCTTCTGCAGCAGCTGCCTCAACAGGTGGCCTAAGATGATGGCCCTTGAGCTCCCGAGAGCATCGAGCTCCTGGGGAGCTGCTTTAAAGTGCAGAGTCTGGGCACCACCGCTGGAAATTGTGATTCCAGAGGCCTGGGGCTGGGACTGGAAGGCACACGGGACCAACCTCCCCCACTCTGGCAATTCCAGAGCACACCAACTTGGAGAACTGCACACGCCTGACAGATGAGGAAACTGAAACCCGGTCCCAATTCCCTTCAAGTTGAATCCTGGTTTCTGCGCCCAAAGTTCAAGGCCCTTTCTGCAGGACCCCGGCCTGACCATATTCCAGCAGAAGCCAAGTCTTCCTGACCACTAGTGGCTAAGAAGCTAAGAAGGTTTCCGAGGTCATGTCCCAACCGAGTGGTGACGTGTGCTGGGATCCACTAGTGATGTCTGCCGTTTGGGGAAGGCCCCGTTAGGAAGGCCGACTTCAAAGGTGTGGGCCCTTTAGGAATCCCCTATTCCAGTCAAAGGACACCTGCTCATCCTCTCTCTATTCTAAATCTCCTTAACCTTCCAGGCCCAGCCTGCCCAGAGGGCACCAGGCTCTGGGGTGCCCAAGAACCTCCAGGCCTCCGAGGGTCAGCTGCACTCCAGGGCCACCACCGCCCACCTAGCCTCAGCCATTGTCATAACAAGGTCCTGCACTGCCACTGCACTTCAAGAGAAAGAGCTCCAGGAGAGCCTCAGACATACTGCTCACACTGTCAGACAGCAGCCTCTTCTAATTCACCCTCACCTGCCCGGGAACACGTGTGCTGTCAACCCCCACTTTTCAGGGAAGGAAACCAAAGCTCACAGGAGCTGGGTGATTCACCCGAGGCCACACAGGCAGTAAGGGACAGAGCCCAGATTCCAGCGGGCTGGTGGGCTTCAAAGCCATGGCACAATCTGTTCCCCGTTAGGCCATGTTCCCCGCCCACACAACTCATGCCTCCCAGGCTGAGAGCAGCTTCCCGGGTTTCTTTAGCCCCTGCTGCGTCTCTGAGCGCAGGGCCTGGCACACAGCAGGAAATCTATAAACACTTATTTAGCTCTTTATAAATATTTGCATGAGCAAACAGCATGGTGCCAAAGAGAGCTAGATTCTACTTTGTTTGGACACTGTGCAACCTACGACAGGTTAGAGAACCAACCCTCAGTGCCTTGGTTTCCCCATTTATAAAATGGACGCAGGTAGACTATCTACTTCATAGGACTGTTGTGAGAAAAGAATGCAAACTCTAGAAAATTGCTAGCACGGAATAAATAATGGCTGACAGATTCCTCGGCTGGCTGGGCCTGGACCAGATCTGAATTCCAACTCCTTATTTCTCCAGCTATTATCTCAGATCTTTTAAATCCAAATAGGTATGGTCCTGGGCTAGGCCAAACCTGTTCTGCCTCTTGTGGAGACCAGAGGACAATGGGGCTGTGGGAACACAGCATCTGGGGTCCAGAGGTGCAGGGTTTGGGTCTAGGCTCTGCCTTCTTGGTCCCTCTGGGCCTCGTTGTTACCTTCTGTGGAATGGGCAGAAGGTTTGCTGGGAGGCTTAGAGAAGGGATGGGAAGGCTGCTCCTTCCCTGCCACCCTTCTGGGTCCCACGTCCCACCATCCTCCACCCTCCACTTCTCACCTTCCTGTGTCCCGTGAAGAAGAGGGAGAGGTGGTGCATGGAGCCACCATTGCGGCCCAACTCTTTCTTGAGGGTGCGGGGCGAAGGTATGGCCCAGGTGGACGCGGTGCCCTCGCCGTCCGAGCAGTGCAGGGTGGTGTCGGAGGAGAAGCAGGGCCCGCGGGCCTCCTGCAGCAGGCTGCCCTCGCTGTGCGTCCGGCGCCGCAGCGAGTTCTGCACCCGCAGGGAGAGGCCGCCCTCGGCGCCCTGGCCCGTCTCTATCATGCTGCTGCGCTTGGCCTCGCTGTGCCCCCCGTAGTTGTCATCGCTCGTGTCCTCCTCCTCGTCCTCCTCGCCCTCCTCCCCGTCCTCCGCCTCCTCCGCCTCCTCCTCATCTCCAGAGCTGCCTCCCTCGGCCTCTGCCTTCTGGCTGTAGGTTCTGTCCAGCCGGACCTCGGGGATCACAAAGGTGGGTCTGGAGGTGGCTGGAGGGTCCCCAGAGCTAGTGGTCTCCTCGGCGAGGGCCTCGGCTGGCGGGGGGGCCTGGTGAGGAGGCAGGTCCCCACAGGCGGGGAGGTCCTGGGCAGGAGGTTCCGGGATGTCAGCGAGGCCTTTGGCCAGCGGAGGGTCCTGGCTCGGAGTGGGACCCGGAGCAGCAGGCAGGTCCTGGCAGGGCTGGAGGTCTGGGGCGGGTGGGGAGTCCTCGCTCAGCGGGGCTTCTGAGGGCTCTTGGTAGGGAGGTGAATCTTTGCTGGACGGTGATTCCTGGCCAGGAGTGGGCTCCTGCTCTGAAGAGGAGTCCTGGGGTGGGAGATCCTGTCCTGAAGGAAGCTCCTGGGCAGGAGAGGGGTCCTTGCTGGGTGGGGCTTCCTCCGCGCCTGGCCCCTTCCCTTCCTCCAAGGGCATGTCCCTCTTCTCATCTGCCTCCGTCTCAAACATCTGGTAAACAAAAAGCAAACAAGGAAGGTTCAGAAGAGGAGGCAGCATCACAGGCTGATCCCAAATCAGGCAGCCACC